GAGAGAGAGAGAGAGAGAGAGAGAGAGAGAGAGAGAGAGAGAGAGAGAGAGAGAGAGAGAGAGGTGCAATAGAGTAGGTGGATAAGGTATAGATGGATTACCTGGATTGGCAGGTGAGCTTAAACGGATGGATGTTATTGAATGAATATATACTAGATAGTTGGGCAGATGAGGATTAGGTGGGTTAGATGGGTACCACAAGCAGACCACAGTCTTATGATCCGAATAGATCGCCCGGTAATTATACCTGTATCTGGACTAGATGTTATGCCAAATACAGTATTACTTAATGACAGGGCGTTCTATTCGGGTGAAAAGGGTAGCTAGATGGGTTTACAATTAGAGTAGGATTCGCTCGATACAGGGATATATAGATAGATATGATGATTCTTTTTTTTTTTGTCTTTTTCATATTTTTTTAATTGATATATGGTGATCATGGGAGATAGGTGGATTGGACACCCGAATAAAGCGCCCCCCGATCATTATTCATGTATTTGGGGCAATTTTCAGTCCAGATACAGCCATAATGACCGTCTTTCCCCGAATAGAACGTTACTATGGTCATTATTCCTGTATTCGGGCCAACTTCCAGTCTAGATACAGCCATAATGACCGTCTTCCCCCGAGTGGAACGTTACTACGGCCATTACAGCTGTGCATTTGGGGCGACTTTCAGTCTAGATACAGGCGTAATGACCGTCCGTTCAATTCCGGGAAAGTCGGTATTCTCGCTAATCTTCTTCCTCCTCCTCCTCCTCTTCTTCTTTGTTCTTTTCATTTTTTTTTTTTTTTTTTAATTCTGTTTTTTTTTTCCAATTTTAATTCTTCTTCAGTACCGTTGTTTTTCCTATTGAGGTCATTATAGCTGCATTTGGGCCAATTTTCCGTCTAAATACAACCATAATGACCGTCCGTTCTATTCGGGAGCAAAGCCTGTCCTCTCTGTAGTCTTGATCTTCCTCCTCTTCTTCTTCTTTCTTCTTTCTTTCTTTCTTTTTTTTTTTTTTTTTTTCATTCTATTGTTATTCAATTTTAATTCTTCTGCAGTACCGTTGTTTCTCCTACTGAGGTCATTATGGCTGAATTTGGGCCAATTTTCCGTCTAGATACAGCCGTAATGACCGTCCGTTCTATTCGGGATTAAAGCCTGTACTCTCTGTAGTCTTCATCTTCCTCCTCCTCTTCTTCTTTCTTCCTTCTTCTTCTTCTTCTTCTTCTTCAGGACCGTTTTTCTTCCCCCCAGCTCTGTTTATTTATGGGTCTTGCCGCAGAAAGAACTCAGCAAATGTGCGAAAAGGAGAATGAATTGTGCGCTAAAACATGGAAAGATGCACCGTTCACCAAATGTGCGCAATCAGAATGAATTGTCCGCTAAAACATGGAAAGATGCATCGTCATAGTTTTTTGTCTTTTCTCCCTTTGGTGAGTTCGTTGTACGGCGCGGTTCTATTTCATGGGACAGGAAAGATTAGGACGAAATCAAAGGGGCTGTGTACTATTTAAAAAAAAAAGACAAAAGAACAAAAAGAGAAAAGAAAAAATAGAGAAAAGGAAAAAAAGAGAAAAGAAAAGAAAAGAGAAAAGAAAAGAAAAGAAAGAAGGGGGCTGTACTTGGTAGTACCTTCTTCACGCGAAAAAGGGCTGTACGACTACCTTCTTCACCCGAATACAACGTCCTGGCATTCTCGCTGTATTTAGACTGAAAGATACCCCAAGTACAGAGTTATAATGATGGTACGTACGTTGTATTCGGGTGAAAACGGGTAGCCTGCACATACATTGAATCTTTTTTTACCTTTTTTTTTTTTTTTTTGTGTGTGTGTGTGTGTGTATGTGCCAAAAGAATCTCTGTTCAGTATGTTTTCTTTTTCCGGAAAAAGGAAAATTTGCAAGATACCCCTGAAAGTTCATGTAGATACTAAAATACCCGTAAAAGATGTGTGTGGTGCGGGTAGAGCAGAAGAAACTCTCTTTGATATTTCGAAAGTCTGTCATCTTTGCAATATACCCCTATCTGGTACCTGTCAAGTTTTCAAAATGACCCTGTACCAGCAGACTTGTTAAAGGCCGTTTGGATTTTTGATTTACCCCTCCAGTACGGGCATCCCTCAAGTTTTGGTTTTGCCCCTCTAACCGTTCGAGGGGCAAGTACGACCACCCTCTCTCTCTCTCTCTCTCTCTCTCTCTCTCTCTCTCTCTCTCTGTCTCTCTCTTTGGCACGCGCTCATGGGCACGCCACAGTCTGTCTCCCTCTCTTGCTTTCTCTCTCTCTCTCTGTGGCTATGTTGCGTGCACACTTGGTCATTCGCCTGTGTTATACGGAGACCGAGACACACACACACACACACACACACACACACACACAGAGAGAGAGAGAGAGAGAGAGAGAGAGAGAGAGAGAGAGAAAGAGAGAGAGAGAGAGAGA